TGCCGCCCGTTCCTGAGCCTTGGCTGGGCCTTGGTGTCAGTAACTTGTTACGTCACCGCTCTCTGCTGGGAGCCTTGGTCTTATCAGCTTGTTTACGTTACCGTTCGCTCTTGGGAGCCTTGGTGTGAAGAGCTTTTTGCGTTACCGATCGCTCTCTATTTGGCGCCTCTGGGCCTTCTTGGGAGTCCTATTGGGGCCCTTGTCGGGCCCTTTTGGAGGCCTCTTGGGAACCTCTTGGGGGCCTCTTGGGGCTTCTTGGGGGGCTCTGGAGAAAGGCTAGACTTTTCGGTTCGTGGTCCCCCTCTTGGGGCTGGGCCGTCTTGGCGCCCTCTTGGGCCGTTTTGGGGGCCTCTTGGGAGCCTCCTGGGCCGTCTTGGGGCGGTCTTGGGGGCCTCTTGGAGCGTCTTCAACCCAGTGAAAGCGGAAAAGTCTTGTATGCTCAAAATGTACCTTTTCCCATCGGAAATCAATGATGTTCGCCTCCCGGTGGCCTCTTGGGACGCCTCTTGGGGGCCTCTTGGGGCTTCTTGGGGGGCTCTGGGGGCCTCCTGGGAGCTTCTTGGGGCGAAAGGCTAGACTTTTCGGTTCGTGGTTCCCCTCTTGGGGCCGTCTTGGCGCCCGCTTGGGCCGTCTTGAGCGCCTCTTGGGCCGTCTTGGGGCCCTCTTGGGCCGTTTTGGGGGCCTCTTGGGAGCCTCTTGGGCCGTCTTGGGGCGGTCTTGGGGGCCTCTTGGGCCGTCGTCAACGCCGTGAAAGCCGACAAAGCGCATATGCTAAAAATGTACGTTTTCCTTTGGAAAATCGATGATGTCGGCCTCTCGGGGCCCTCTTGGGACGCCCCTTGGGCGCCTCTTGGGGGCCTCTTGGGCCGTCTTGGGCGGTCTTGGGCTCTCTTGGAGCGCTCTTGGGCCGTCTTGGGGGGGAACCCGAAAAACATGCAAAAACCCGGAGGGACAACCCGAAAACGGCCATTAACACTCATATGCGCACGCTCCCCCCCTCCCCTGGAACCCATCCCTTTACGGCTTCGCCCACACCAAAACGTCATCACTCGTACCTCGCTCTTTCCGCTACCTGGCCCGGCACAGAAACGGAAAGAGCGCTTCAGAAACAGAAGCCGAAATTACTCACACCACCGTTCGTACTGGGAGCCTTGGCGTTGAGAGCTTGTTACCCGTTCCTGAGCCTTGGCTGGGCCTTGGTGTCAGGAACTTGTTACGTCACCGCTCTCTGCTGGGAGCCTTGGTCTTATCAGCTTGTTTACGTCACCGTTCGCTCTTGGGAGCCTTGGTGTGAAGAGCTTTTTGCGTTGCCGATCGCTCTCTATTTGGCGTCTCTGGGCCTTCTTGGGAGTCCTATTGGGGCCCTTGTCGGGCCCTTTTGGAGGCCTCTTGGGAACCTCTTGGGGGCCTCTTGGGGCTTCTTGGAGGGCTCTGGGGGCCTCCTGGGAGCTTCTTGGGGCGAAAGGCTAGACTTTTCGGTTCGTGGTCCCCCTCTTGGGGCCGTCGTGGGGCCCTCTTGGGCCGTCTTGGACGCCTCTTGGGCAGTCTCGGCACCCTCGTGGGCCGTTTTGGGGGCCTCTTGGGAGCCTCTTGGGCCGTCTTGGGGCGGTCTTGGGGGCCTCTTGGAGCGTCTTCAACGCAGTGAAAGCCGAAAAGCCTTGTATGCTCAAAATGTACCTTTTCCCATCGGAAATCAATGATGTTCGCCTCCCGGTGGCCTCTTGGGAAGCCTCTTGGGGGACTCTTGGGGCTTCTTGGGGGGCTCTGGGGGCCTCCTGGGAGCGTCTTGGGGCGAAAGGCTAGACTTTTCGGTTCGTGGTCCCCCTCTTGGGGCCGTCTTGGCGCCCTCTTGGGCCGTCTTGAGCGCCTCTTGGGCCGTCTTGGGGCCCTCTTGGGCCGTTTTGGGGGCCTCTTGGGAGCCTCTTGGGCCGTCTTGGGGCGGTCTTGGGGGCCTCTTGGGCCGTCGTCAACGCCGTGAAAGCCGACAAAGCGCATGTGCTAAAAGTGTACGTTTCCTTTGGAAAATCTATGATTTCGGCCTCTCGGGGCCCTCTTGGGACGCCCCTTGGGCGCCTCTTGGGGGCCTCTTGGGGGCCTCTTGGGCCGTCTTGGGCGGTCTTGGGGTCTCTTGGAGCGCTCTCAGGCCGTCTTGGGGGGGAACTCGAAAAATATGCAAAATCCCGAGGGACAACCCGAAAACGGCCATTAACACTCATATGCGCACGCTACCCCCCTCCCCTGGAACCCCTCCCTTTAGGGCTTCGCCCACACCAAAAAGTCATCACTCGTACCTCGCTCTTTCCGTTACCTGGCCCGGCACAGAAACGGAAAGAGCGCTTCAGAAACAGAAACCGCAATTACTCACATCACCGTTCGTACTGGGAGCCTTGGCGTTGAGAGCTTGTTACGTCACCCCTCGCTCTTGGGGGCCTTGGTGTTCAGAGATTGTCGCGTTGCCGCCCGTTCCTGAGCCTTGGCTGGGCCTTGGTGTCAGGAACTTGTTACGTCACCGCTCTCTGCTGGGAGCCTTGGTCTTATCAGCTTGTTTACGTCACCGTTCGCTCTTGGGAGCCTTGGTATGAAGAGCTTTTTGCGTTACCGCTCGCTACCGATCGCTATTTATTTGGCGTCTCTGGGCCTTCTTGGGAGTCCTCTTGGAGCATTTTTCGAGCTATTTTGGAGGCCTCTTGGGAACCTCTTGGGGGCCTCTTGGGGCTTCTTGGGGGGCTCTGGGGGCCTCCTGGGATCTTCTTGGGGCGAAAGGCTAAACTTTTCGGTTCGTGGTCCCCCTCTTGGGGCCGTCTTGGGGTCCTCTTGGGCCGGGAGCCTCCTGGGCATTCTTGGGGCGGTCTTTGGGGCCTCTTGGACCGTCTTCAACGCCGTGAAAGCCGACAAGCATTGTATGCTATAAAAGTGTACCTTTCCCAATAGGAAATCAATGATTTGGGCCGCCTGGTGGCCTCTTGGGACGCCTCTTGGGGCTTCTTGGGGGGCTCTTGGGGCCTCCTGTGAGCTTATTGGGGCGAAAAAGGCTAGACCTTTCGGTTCGTGGTCCCCCTCTTGGGGCCGTCTTGGGGCCCTCTTGGGCCGTCTTGGGCGCCTCTTGGACCATCCTGGGGCCCTGTTGGGCCGTTTCGGGGGCCTCTTGGGCCGTCTTGGGGCGGTCTTGGGGGCCTCTTGGGCCGTCGTCAACGCAGTGAAAGCCGAAAAGTTGTATATGCTAGAAATATATGTTTCCTCAGGAAAATCAATGATGTTGGCCTCTTGGGGCCCTCTTGGGCACCTCTTGGGGGCCTGTTGGGGGCCTGTTGGGGGCCTCTTGGGCCGTCTTGGGCGGTCTGGGCTCTCTTGGAGCGCTCTTGGGCCGTCTTGGGGGGAAGCCCGAAAAACATGCAAAAACCCCGAGGGACAACCCGAAAACGGCCATTAACACCCATTCCCTCCCCCTACCCCCCCCTCTGCACTCCCCCTTAAGGGCTTCGCCCTACACCAAAACGTCATCACTTGTACCTCGCTCTTTCCGTTACTTCCTGGGCCGTCGGTATTCCGACTCCAGGCGGCCCTAAGAGGGACTCCAAGACCCTAGATGGCCTCAAGATCGCAAAGATGGCCCAAGAGGCCTCCAAGGCGGCCAAAGAAAGAAGCCTCCCAGAGGACCTCCAGGAAGGCTCGCAGAGGTCGAAATCTATGATTTCCCGTGGTTGTTGCAGGATTGTGGCGTTTGCTCATTTCCAAACTTTCCACGGTCCAAGACGGCCCCAGAGCCCCCCAAGAGCGCCCAGGAGGCCCAGCGATGGCCCCCGAACAGCCCAAGATGTCCTCAAGATGGCCCCAAGAAGGCCTCAAGACGGCCCTGAAGCGCCCCAAGAAGGCCCAAACTTGGCCTGAAGAGGCTCCCCAGACGGCTTCACGCGACGTCAGATGCCAAAGAGACTCTCAAGGAGCCAAGAGGCCTCCAAGAGATCCCAAATAAGCTCTCAAGAAACCTCCTCCTCCTCCTCCTGTTTCCTCCCTCTACATCCTCTGTTTTCTTTTCTCCCCAAGGTGTTGCCCGGAAAATTTCCACAACAGCTGGGGAACACATGATTCGATGGCTCCGCCGAGTTCTGGTCAAAATGTTCGGCCACTTAGGCGTTTCCACAAGCCAGGGGCCGGCGATGCTTCGCCGTAGGAGTCTTCCATAATCTCAGGAGCTCAGCGCGAGAACCGATCTCTAACTCAAGATCCCGTCTCCACCTCCAAGCCCTCCTCTACGGCCGATCTTGCTGCTGCGTTCTGGGGGCGTCACATCGCCCGTAGTCCCAATCATCGCGAGCGACATGTCACGACAAGCTGCGTTACGCACCGCGCCACCTCATTCATTGTTTCAATGTCACAATCACCCTAAACTGTCAGCATAACCAGAAGCCTCTCTGACACTTCGACGTGCGAACCCGCGATCCCTTATCGATCGATTTCTGGTCGGGGTACGCCCCTTACCCACCCACGGTGTACCTAGGTAACCTAATTTCGCGCGTCATCGCGCCTTCGCGAGACCCTTGGAGAAGGACAGCCGCTTAGGCTCAGGCCGCGACGTGCGAAACGCAACTATCTTCGCGCTTCCGCGGGTGACCTAATTTACTGGCGTGGGCCTGGTCAATCCTGGACCCAAGGTGGGTTTGGCCAGGACCCGTTTCTGATGCTCAATTAGCACCCCCCCGACGGCCCGTTATGCTCCCTCTCATGCGCACTGAATCCAAACCCTGACGCTACCCAGCCTCCCACACTCTACGCTATTTGGACCGACTCAACGCAAACCCGGATCAACCGATTTAGAACGACTCCAGCATTGCAAGACCCTGCAAGATCAGGCGCTCTGGCTGAGCCGCGCTTGCGCTGAACCCGCTCACCTGCCGTCGTGGCCGTTACCTGCCGTCTGAAGAGCAAATCGCGCTGTCTCATCGGTGCTTCTCAGACGGCACGCCCCTGCACTGCACCCCCCGCCGCGGCGGGCGCGGGGCCTTGGGATACGCTCCAGCCGACGGCCGCCCGCTCCGCTGACTCCCAGCGGCCGAAGCCCTCGAAGTGGTGGAAGAAGCGCACGGCGTGCTCCGGACTGGGGCGGGGCACGGTCAAACGGGATTACGGAGACGCGTGGTAGGGACGCAAGGGCATTGGACGCCCAAGCCGAGCTTTTCGAGCGGCGCTGGACGGGCCGAAGAGGCTGAGGAACGGCCGAAGAGGCAGGGACGCAAGGGCACCCTCGTAAAATGACTTGTCCTGACGATGCGTTTTGGCGTGCAGGTCATCGACACGGCGGGCGTGCAGGTCCCTGGCTCGTGGACTCCCGCCCGAGACTTCCTTCAGGAACGGCGCTTTCGCATAGGACTTCCTCGAACGTTCTCGCTCTTACCTTCCTTCTCCTCCTCCCTCTCCCTCCTCCCTCCTCCCTCCTCTCCTCCCTTCTCTCTCCCTGCTCCCTTCCCTCATCCTTATGCCTCTCTGCCCTATCCCCTCTCCCTCCTCTCCCTCCTCCCTTCTCCCTCCCCTATCCTGCCTCCTCCCTCCCTCTTTCTGTCATTTTTGTTTCTCTTTTTCTCTCTCTCTCTCTCTCTCTCTCCCCCCTCTCTCTCTCTCTCTCTCTTTCTACCTCTCTTATATGTCTGTCTCTCTCTCTCTCTATTTCTCTCTCTCTCTCTCTATTTCTCTCTCTCTCTCTCTCTCTCTCCTTCTGTCTCTAATCAACCGCCCCCCTCTTCGCTCCTTCTCTCCTGACGTTTTCCCTCTTCCTTCGTCCCTCCCCCTCCCTTCCTCCCACTCTCCCTCGTTCTCCCCCTCCTCGTTTTGCAGGGCCCACACCAATTCCAATGGCGGGCACATGTACGCCCACGAAATATTGTCCGCCCTTTCAGGTTTGCCCACCTGTCTAAGCCCGCCACCCCCCGCAACGAGAAAAAATCCCCCCAAACGGGGTGTGATCGAAGACGGAAAGGGCGGGTATCGAGGGGTTGGGGAACTCGTTTTGAATGTCACACGGACAAGTAAGAGCGAGCAATCGTATACTGATTGTTGTTGTTGTTGCTCGTCTCATTAATGTTGTTGTCGCTATTATTTGATTATTATTATAGTTGTTGTGTTGCTCTTGTCGTTGATGATGTTGTTGTCATTGTAAGTGTTGGTGCCGTTGTAAGTGTAATTGATTTCGATGTTCTTACAAACCACCATGAATGATCATCCCCTCCGGCACACAGTGTGTTTTTCAACTGATATGCCCTTCCAGGTTCTTATTGTTGCGCGTTAGTATTACTGTTGTTGTTATCGTTGCTGCTGCTGTTGCTGTTTCTTGTGTTGTGTTATTTCTCTCTCTCTCTCTCTCTATCTCTCTCTCCCCCATCTCTTTCTCTCTCTCTCTCTCTCTTTGTGATATGTTCTCGTTTTCTTTGCGAATCCGTACTTCTATGTATATATATATATCCAAGATAAAAAGGGGGGGGGACGGTCATTCACTGTCTCTGGGCGCGTGGCTGGAGTGAGGTTCTGCGGTGAGAATTGTTGCTGTTGACGTCGTCGTCGTCGTCGTCGTCGTCGTCGTCCCCCCCCGCGGCCTGGCCCGCGACCCACCCACGACCCACCTGCGACCTACCCGCGACCTGGCCCGCGACCTGGCCCGCGACCCACCCGCGACCCGCAACCCACACCGCGACCCGCCCGCGACCCACCCGCGACCTGGCCCGCGACCCACCCAACGACCCACCCGCGACCTGGCCCGCGACCGGGCCCGCGACCCACCCAACGACCCATCCACACCGCGACCCGCCCGCGACCCACCCGCGACCCACACGCGACCCGCCCGCGACCCACCCGCGACCTGGCCCGCGACCCGGCCCGCGACCCACCCGCGACCCGCAACCCACACCGCGACCCGCCCGCGACCCACCCGCGACCTGGCCCGCGACCCACCAACGACCCACCCACACCGCGACCCGCCCGCGACCCACCCGCGACCCACACGCGACCCACCCGCGACCCACCCGCGACCTGGCCCGCGACCTGGCCCGCGACCCACCCAACGACCCACCCACATTGCTTTAACGAGAAAATCGGCGCCTGCGGCGGGCTCACTGCACAATCGGTGAAAGTTAGGCGCCTGCGGCGGGCTTCTTCAGAGCCTCGCAGACTGCCGACGTCCTCGCCGCCCCCTCACTCGTATCCGCAACTGCGACTGCGGGGTGCTACGTACATATGGAAAACTGCAAAACCTTTCAGACGGGCTGCGGCGACCGAGAATTTGGGCTCGGGGCGCAACGCGAAACAGAAATGCGCACAAACTCCTGGATGAGCTAGATGAGCTGACGAGCCGTGAAAGCGGAGAGTGACTATCAATGAGGACGACGCGGTTCATGACGAAGGAAAAAGACTCTGCTCCACAGAGGGCGACAAAAAAAAGAGGGAGAGAGAGAGACACATAATGAATGAAGGCTTCAAACATGGAATCCGAGCAGATGGGGTCGGCGACGTCGGCGATACGTCGGGACCGTCGGCGTAGATCACAGCGGGCTCCAAATCGAGCCACATTGCCTTTGCATCAGCGATGCGGCGTGGTGACGAAGATAATCAGCCGAGGGGTCGGCCCTGCCCCGCCGAAAATGCTGAAAACCGCCGACATTGACGACGGCCTGGTGCTTCAAGTGGAGTTATCCGGCGAGGCTGCAGGAGCGACCCAATTAATGGCAGGGGCCTCCGAGGGTAAACGAGGCCCGTCTCCCCAATGGTAACCACCCGAAAAGTCGGGCGAGCCCCATCGCCGACAACCGCGATCGACGACGACCAAGTGCTCCTGTCGGGGGTCTCCCGCGAGGCTGCAGGCCCGACCTAACGGCCGGGGCCTCCGAAAACGAGCGAGGCCTGTCACCCCAGAGACAACCAGCCGAGGGGTCGGCCCTGTCTCGCCGAAGCCTGGCGCGGCGGACTCCGAGCAGCAAACCACATCTGCTGACTTCTCCTTTCCGCGCTCGTCCCCTCCGTGAAATTGGGCCTCCGGGGGGTCTTGATCTCGTCTGTTCTTGCTTTGGTTGCGGCCCTGGGGCCCGTGGCCAGCCTACAAACCCTGGTCATCGGAGTTTTGCCGTGACGCCAGACCTGAAGGTTGCCCCCCCTTCTGGAGAGGAAGGAGGCACGGCGTATACAGAAACTGCCGAAACACCGCGTCGATTTCTTGGATCGGCGCTGGATCCCCTCCCGGGGCCGCGGAGCTCGCCAGGGGCGGCGCCGGAGGCGCCGCCTGGGGGCCCCAGGGCCGATTCGAGAAAGCCGAGCGGAGCTACAACTCATGTTTACTCAGAATGTTTTGTTATCGACTCCGTGTCCACAGCATGGCACTCGTCATCACGTCGGTGCGCCCCCTGCTCGAGTCTGCACGGACATCCTCATATCGCTTCCCCATGGCCTCTCTACCTCCCTCTCTGCAGTTCTAGCTGGGACGGCAAGGAACGGGAGTGAGAAAAGGAGAGGCGAGCGGGGGGAGGGGAGGGGAAAGGAGACTTGACCGGACGTGGACAAAAAAAGTTCGCTCATGGGGGTGCGCGGTCGAACCGCTTGGTACCGCGCGCAAGTAGTGGCACGCATCACCCGATCGATCGAATCGTGGCAAGCTGTATCCCGTTCCCTTCCCCTTTGACATCTGTCCTCTCCCAGCGTCTCTGTATCTTGAACCGCCTTTTCCCTTTGACCCCGGCACCCCCTCCTGGCCGGCCCCGCCATTCTACAACTTCATCCCCGCAGGATAGAATGACCCATCCCCGCCGATTCTCCTCGTGAGGTTCACGAACGAATAACCGAAGTTTGCGCCAGTCGTGAACTCGATCGGGAGGTAGAGGAAATCGTACTTGCCAGCGAAGCCCTGGACAGTGAATCTGTATGATGGATTGATGACGACCACTCGCTTCGCCTTTTGGCAAAGTGTCTGAAGCAGGAAGCGGGCAGGCGGCACTCGCTCGGACGCAACAGACATTGAGCTGGCGTGGCAAGGCAAACCCAAACATACGATACTTCAGAACAAGCAAGCATGTAGCAGCCGCGTTTCTATCGTTTCCCATGCTTACCTGTATCTAAATACTTTGGTGTTTGTGATGCACATACATACTTATCACACACATGGAGGTGTACATATATGGAACTAAATCTGCCCAGGAGCATACGATTGCATGTGTATGCGTTCCAGGTGTACACGTATGCATGGCATGTATATGTTTATAAAGGTATATACAATATGTGTAATCATGGCTACACTTTATCATCTATCTCTACATGCATATATCATATAGTTAGTATGCGAAAAGAGCATGCCACCCTCAGCACCGCTGAGCACGGAGTGGTCGTGTCCTCAGGTCCTTTCCCGAATCCCTGAAGCCTGAGTCCTCATTCCTGAAGTGTCGTTCCCCAGAACGCCCCAAGAACGTTCCAAAGAGGGCCAACATCACTGATTTGTCACTGTGGCAAATCAGTGATGAGGCCAGATCAACTTCTGCCGTCGCCGTTGCCGCCGTCGTCGTCACCATCGGCGCAGACGCCGCCGTCGTCGTCGCCGTCGCCACCGTCGTCGCCGCGACGCGCGCGCATCCACGTTATTACCACTGGCTCCGCCCAGATTTTTTTGAGTAGTAGTGGGGCAACTGACAAAAACGTCTTTGACCACAGATTTTAAAGACTTGGGTGTCCTCGGCTTTTCGAGCTCCCATCGCAAGAGCCCCCTGGGACCACCCCAAGACGGCCCAAGTGGCCCCCAAGAGGGCCCCAAGAAGGCCCAAGACACCACCAATGAGCCCCAAAGACACCCGAAGGGGCCCCAAACAGCCCCCACGAGGTCTGAAAACTGCACCCACGTGCCCCCCGACCTCCCCCCCGCGACATCTCAACGAACATCTTAAAGGCCCACCACCCACAACCCAAACACGGTGGCGGGATGGGCCGGAAGTCATTCGACCCGCCGTCCCCTGTTGGCTTGCCACAAGGGTGCCGGGCGTGCCCGACCCTATCGCTCTTGGTTTGGGCTCTTTTTTCCAAAAGAACTCTCCCGCGGGGTTTCGGCCCGTCCCGCCGGCTACCCGAAAGGCCACACAAGGCCAGAATTCTCACACCAGAAATTCCCAAGACGGCTCAAGATGGCTTTCAAAACCGCCAGGGTGGCCTCCAAGATGTCCACGATGGCTTCCAAGACGAGCCAAGAGGGTCCACGATTCTTCCAAGTCCGCCCAAGAAGCCTCCACGACGGCCCAAGAGGTGCCCAAGAGGCCTCCAAGACCTCCGAGAGGTCCTCTAGGAGGGCCCGAAGAGGCCAAAATCATTTATTTTCCTGAGGTGTCTGACGGATTTTCGTATTTTATCATTTTCGGCCTTCCGACGGTCCAAGACGGCCCAAGAGGCTCCAAGATGGCCTCAGGACTGCCCAAGAGGCCCCCAAGACGGCCCGAAGACGGCCCAAGAGGCCTCTAAGACGCCCATCCGAGAGAGAGTACATATGGGACTGACAGCAGAGGACTCGCGAGAGGCCGCGACTCTTCCGAGGGCATGCCTTGCTCCGGACACGAAGCGGACACGAGACGCGAAACACCTGACACTGGCCCCCTTGATTGTGTTGGGTCGACCCACTCGTCAAACCCGACGAGCGGGCTCGGCAGAGCAAATGCCACACGATGATAGGCAGAGGGACTTGCGGCTGTCCTCTGCGTCGAGGAGCGCAAGCAGCTGGTCCCGCGTGTAGCTCAAGGGCAGGTTCCTGGAGACCCCGCCGCGCGGCCGGGAAGCAATCGGCGACGCCGCGGGGGGAAGACGACCGGAGTTTTCCGATACAGCGCGCCCGTGGAACACTCCCGAAGGGGGGGGGGGGGCCCTTCGCCAACACCCCACCTTTTGGACCTCCCCTGCTGGCAGCTCCCCCCACCCCCCCTCCTCTTTTCCCGCCCCCCGAAAGCTACCCCGCCCCTCCGTTCGCGCTCCAGAAGCGATCCCCCCCCTCCCTTTCCAAAAGTGAGGGGTTTTAGCTGCGCCCCCCCTCCTTGGACCTCCCCTGTCGGGAGCCGCGCCCCCGTCCTTTCCGTGTTTCCCGTCCCTCGGAAGCAACCCCTCCCCTCCCTTTCGCGCTCCAGAAGCTACACCCCCCCTTCCCCCCTAGGGAGGCGAGGGCTTGGAAGCCCCCAGACCAGAAGGGCGCCGAAAATCAACAGAGCACCGAAAGCCGAAGGGCCACCGAAAACAACAAGGGTGCGGAAACCAGAGGCGCGCCGCAAACCGTAGGAACGCCGAAAGCCGATAGGGCGCCGACAACCAAAAGGGGCGCCGAAAAACCAACGGGGCGCCGAACTCAAATGGAGCGCGGAAAAACAAAAGGAGCGCCGAAACCCAACAGAAGCGCCGAAAGCCGAAGAACGCCGAAAACCAAAAGGGCGCCGAAAACCAAAGAGCGCCGAACACCAAAAGATCGCCAGAAAGCAAAGGGGCGCCGAAAACCAAAAGGGCGTCGAAAACCGAAAGTGCATCCCAAAAACAGTGCGCCAAAAACCAAAGGCGCGCGGAAAGCCGAAGGGCGCCGAAGACCAAAGTGGCGCCGAAAACCAAAACGCGCCGAAAACCAAAAGAGCGCCGAAAACCAAAGAGGCGCCGACAACCAAAAAGGCACCGAAAACAGCGGGGCGCAGAAAACCAAAGATGCGCCGAAACCCAAAAGAAACGCCGAAAACCAGAGCAGCGCCGATTACCCAAAGAACGCCGAAAACTAAAGGGTCTCCGAAACCCAAAAGGTCGCCAAAAACCAAAAGAGGCGCCGAAAACCAAAATGGCGCCCGACAACTCAAGGGTCGACAAACACCAACACGGCACCGAAAACCAAAACGCTGCCGACAACCAAAGGGGCGGCAAAAACCAAAAGGGCACCGAAAACCAACACACGCCGAAAACCAAAGGAGCGCCCAAAACCAAAAGGGCGTCGAAAACCGCAAGGGCGCCGAGAACCAAAGGAACGCCAAACACCGAACGGCCACCGAAAGCCGAAGGGCGCCAAAAACCAAAGGGGCACACAAACCCAAGGATGACGAACACCAAAAAGCCCCAAACACAAAACAACGGCACCGAAAACCAGAGATGCGCCGGAAACAAAAAGAGCGCCAAGAACTAAAAGACACCGAAAACCAAAAGGGCGCCGAAAACCAAGAGGGCGCCGAAAACCAAAGGGGTGCCGAACACCCAAGGGCCGCCGAAAATGAAAAGGAGCGACGAAAACCACAAAGGGCGCCGAAAACCAACAATTCGCCGAAAACCAAAGGGGCGCCGAAAAACAACAGGGGCGCGCCGATAATCGACAGGGGCGGCGAAAACGAAAGGCGCGCCGAAAACAACAGCTCCGAAGACGGACAGGCCGCCGAAAACAAAAAGGGCACCGAAAGCGAAAGGGGCGCCGAAAACCAAAAGAACTCTGAAAAACAAAAGGGGCGCCGAAAACCTAAGGGGCGCCGAAAACCAACGACGCGCCGAAAACCAAAAAGGGCGCCGAAAAACCAAAGAGGCGCCGAACACCAAAAGGGCGTCGACAACTAAAGAGCGACAAATCAAGGGCGCGCCGAAAGCCGAAGGGCGCCGAAAACCAAAGGGGCGCCGAAAACCGAGATAACGCCGAAAATTAAAAGGGCGCCGAAAACCATAAGGGAGCCGATACGCAACAAGGGTGGCGAAAACAAAAGGGGCGCCGAATTCAAGAGGGCGCCGAAAACCAACGAGGCGCCGAAAATCAAAGCGTGAGCAGAAACCCCAAAAGGGCGCCGACTTCCACAAGAACGCCGGAAACCACAGGAGCGCCGAAAATCAAAGGCGCGCCGAAAACCAAAGGCGCGCCGAGAACTCAAGGGGAGCCAAAGGCCAAAGGGGCGCCGAAAACCAAAGAAGCGCCGAAAACCATAGAGACGCCGAGAACCACAAGTACGCCGAAAACCGACGGGGCGTCGAAACCCAAAGCCGAAAACCAACGGGGCGCCGAGACCCAAGTCCCCCCTTCAGCCAGGGTCCTCCAGCTGGAAAACCAGCAGACGGAGGAGAGGGTGGGGTTAGCTTCTGAGGGCACCCCCCCCTTTGGAAATGGGAGCCCTGGCGTAGCCCGGGCCCCGAAAAAGAAGAGGGTAGCTTCTGAGCCCCCCCCCACCCCTTTGAGCCAGGGCTCCCCCAGCTACAAAATCCAAACAACAGGACAGGGGGGGGGGTAGCCCCGAAATGTCTGCAGAAGAAAGGGAGGGGGGAGAGGGGTAGCTTCAAGCTGGGGCCCCCTTTCTAGTGAGAAGTGTGCCACGAGCGCGCTCTTTCGGAGCTCCCCTCAACCATCCACGAGCGGCGGGTTCACGTCGTGACGTCGCCGTCGTCGTTGTCGTCGTCAGTCGTCGCAGAGTTCTCCTGCTCCCGTCGCAGCTTTTCCCTCCCTTTCCCTGAGGCCTCCTCGTCGAGCTCGCCAGCGACAACAAAAAGAAGTAATGTCGCTATTGAGTCAATGGGAAGCCCTCTCTTCATCCCTTTCCTGCGGGGGTGTCCCAGATCAGAAAACCATCCTCACCAGGGGGGTCCTGAGGCCCAAAGAGGCCCCAAGACAGCCCACGAGGCCCCCCAAAACGATCCAAGAGGACCCCGAATCGTCGAACGATCGGTCCAAGACGGCAAAGGTAGCCTGCTCACAGCCCACGCGGCTGCCAAGACGCTCGAAGATACCTCCAAGAGCACACCAAGAGGGCCCCAACAAGCAACATTCAATGTGTTTTCCTTCGGTTTCTGAAAAATGGTAGCGGTATCGTCTTTTCCGGCTTCCCGACGCTCCAAGACGGCTCAAGATGCCACCAAGATCGGTGCACGAGGTGCCCCAAGAGGTTTCCAAGACGGCCCCACAACGACCCAAGAGGGCCCCAAGATGGCCCTGGAGGGCTTCCAAGAGGCCCAAGAAGCCCCCCAAAACGATCCGAACCGGCTCAAAGAGGGTGCCCACATGGGAGCCCGAACGGACATATCGAGCCCTCGCTCCGAGAAGCTCCTAGGAGGCTCCCAGAGGCCCCTGAGAGGACCCCATGTGTGAGATATACGCTGTTGGGTACATCGCCAGGGTAATTTACTCTTTCACGGGTATTATATATATATATATATATAGATATATACGCTGTACATCTTGCGTTAGTGCAGAGCATGACTGTAGCATAGCGAGCGTACTGCGATGTTTTGGCCCAAACCCTTTAGGGCCCTTGAATCGAGCGCGCCAGCGGTGTGAAGATATCATCGATGTTTTTTTGTTTTGTTCTGATGTGTCATTCTTATTGCTGTCATCAAAGACTTCGGGGGCTTTGATAAGCCAGGCTCGCGCTTCGACCTTCCATATCTCAGTGACCTCTCTTCGGATCTGGTCGCCAATTCCATAATAGGCTTCGACCCAGCGGCGGATCTCATAGACCGCCTGATCAATTTCTCGTCAGAGTCCACGTTTGATTTCACAGACCGGGGCAATTTCGATTTCGAGCAGCACGCATCGGACAGCAACCCCTTGCAGTTTCAGTCAGCACGATGTCCAAGCCAATGGCGGACATGCTACCGGAGCGAGGAGTTCCACAGTTCGACGGCACGCTCAGCAAATGGAAATAATACGAGAAGCGGGCAATGATTTTCATTGCGAAGCTTACATTGGAGAAGAAGGAGGGCGACGCGGCTCTCATGCTCAGCGCAGGTCTCATCAACAAGCGAACTCATTGAGCCCAACGCGACGAAACAGCTCATGGCCAGATTACGGAATCGATTCAAGATGGACGACAGGACCGAGCTCGCGGACGACTTTGAGGAGTATTTCTTCAAGCTCAAGCGGTACAAAGGTGAGACGCTGTTCGCCTACATATCACGAGTGCGAGCAGCAGAGCGGAAGCTCAAGACGCACGACATCGAGCTACCGGCGAAGGTCCGAGGCTGGCTCACGCTACGACGAAGAGGATACAGCGCGGACCAGAATGCGGTCATCATGTCAGTAGTTGGTAAGGATATCACACAGGAGGTTATCGAGGCGTTGAAACAACGTTCGGGCAGGAGAGTATCATGCACGAGCCGAATCACGCACAGAAACAGTATTTCGTCGACGAAGACACAGCAAAGTACCACGACGAGAAGTTCCATACTGGCGAGCCAGAGGACGAGCCAGACGACTACGACAAGACGTACTGGGCGGAGGATGACAAAACCTGGTACGACTGCGAAGAGAGCTACTACCAGCGCGACCACAACACAACTCAAGAGCTCGACCCAGGCGAGCACGACGAAGTCTACGCAGCCTACGCGGACGCCAGGAAGCGGTTCAACGACCTGAAGCTAGCACGCGGTTTCTACCCGGTAGTGGCGATGGTAGGCGGAAGCTCAGGTTCGGCCGCAGCATCAGCGAGAGGTTCGCACGGACGAGGCCGGTCAAGCAGCAAAGGCACCAAAGGACGCGGCAAATCCAGAGGAAGAAAGGGCAACCCAAAAGGATCATCACTTCCAGGCGCATACAGCAGACCACGACCTACGGCAGCGGACCCAATGGGAAGTTCAAGGCCAACTACGAAACCAATACCAACATCAACACCATCGGCCAACTGCCTACGATGCGGCAAACCGGGCCACTGGGCTAGGGACTGCACCGAGCCACCCAACAAGAAGCGGGTCCACACCGACGACAGGTTTATGGTCGATGAGGTCTACTGGGATGACAAGTGTCATAGCAAGACCGACACCAGCGCA